ATTTTTCAATAACGGATTTAACTAGATGAGTCTAGTGACTTGAAAATGTTCTTGCAGCCTTCTTCTGACTTGTGCTTTTCAAAAACCTTTTCAGAGTTACTTGGAGTGTTCTTGTGTCTTCATGGTGTATTTATATCCAGGAGTACTGATTCACCAGTGACTGGACCTTCCAGGTACAGTTGGCTTTACATTAAAATCATTTGCATTTACTGCACTCAGATTACCTTAATTGTCTAATTGTGTGACTTCTAACACCAATTGGCTGCATCTGTGTTGAATTAGGTGAATCACAAGGGAGATGAATTACATATTTCACATTTTATAATTGACATTAACAGAAATCTGCTTCCACTTTGACAAGCAAGAATCTTGATTCTTGTCCAAAAAGTTGAAGACATTTCAATGTTGACAAGCCATAAAAGGGGGAAACTACTTTCAATAGGCACCGTATGTTGTGTAAGACATGAGCAGTTTCACAGAAAAATAACACCACCTTCCTGTATTTATGACAAACTACGACGTTCTTGACTTACAGCATCTTTTAAATTGAAAAACACTCTGTGTGAAATTCACTGTGCAGCTCTAACAGGATTAAAAGACTATTCGTCTCTTGTTATTGACTTCTGGACATTTTTTTTCTAAGATAAGATCTCCTGGGACGCACCAGAGGTGGCCGGTCCTCACCTCTCTAAACAGCTACGGTTCAGCAGCAAACTGCGGCCACACAAAGTGAAAAAACAGTCCTCAGGAGGATGAAAGACTTTCCAACGTGTCCTGTCGCCTGGTTGTCTCTGTCGGCGTAACAAGAGCGTTAATGCACCGGTGGAAATAAAAAAAAAAAAAAAAAGAAATGCAACTGAGCTGAACATCAAAGACAACACCTTCCAGCCGCCTCCACAGTCAAGTGATGCAACATGCAGCACTTGTGTGTTCAGCTCCTTCTGTCCAAACAGCCCAACCTCTGGCAGTCTGTCTGCACACCGACTCTCCTTCATGCATGAGTTCGTAGCTCCTTATAGAACACATACGCATTCGTTCACAGGTTCTGATAGAGCCATATTTCCCTCCTAACAATAAATATAACACAGATGCATCTCTTACACTCAGATATTTCACTTCTTCGTCTTATTTTTCTACTTTCTGCTGACACTCCATCAGTTTGCATCGACACCTCATTTGGGTTTATTTCTTTTCTTTCGCCCTATTATTTCTAAACAGCACGTTCTGCAGCTGAAATCGTGGGTTTCTATGTTCACATAGTCTGTGATCTTTTATTTTTTTCCCCCCAACGGGACCATTAAAGTTTCATCTTTATCCCGCTGAGCACAAAGAGATCTGTTATTTACGATGAACAGGACTTTGCCAAACACGGTTTATTTGTTGCCTCGGATTAAGTTGATTAAAATCTCAAAACCTCTGGCTGGTAAATCATCAAAGCACAAGGCATGAATCAAAACAAATGGTTCACGTTAATCTCTAAAAAAAGAAAGAAAAAAAAATATCAAAGCAGAATGTGAAGTTTTTCTTTCTAGCTCTTTCGTAACCTGCCTGAAACCTCACTTTCACTGCCCACTTAGCGACCAGCAAGACCTTAAATTAAGCTTCTGCAGCGGCCTGATGAGACGAGGTGAAGGGCTGGTGAGCTCTATGAGATTGTCTGAATGCACAAAGAGGGGTTATGCAACACTTGTCACTGTCTTTGGCCTTGAATCATGAAGTGTTGCTGCCATCTAGTGCTTCACATCCGACAAAAGAGATGATGAACGATTCCAGGAGAAGGTTCAGTCTATTCATCCTGATGGTATTTAAGGCCAGACTCAAGATGCGCAAGTGTCTGTGGACAATAACTGATGGCGAGGGAACCTTTGAACCACATACTGATGTAGTTTTTTT